TATGTTGCCCCCACCCAACGTATCTCCCGGCATCTGTTGCAAATGTCTTTGCATGCCTGTCAAAAATGCATGCAAAAGTGCCAGTATGCTTCAATTTCTTTAATTTCCATCGCGTTTGTACGAAATATCCCATAAACATAGAACATATCATTCTTGCAAATTGTATATGCTTTTTTTGCTTTTTGGCGTGTAAATTACTTCACAAACCTAGCGCAAAAAAAATTAAAATAAGTTACAGGTGATTTCATGTATCCATTTAGAAGAGCAGACTAAGGATATCTTGGACGTAGCAAAGCATCTGACGTAGCAGGGACGTAGCAAAGCATCTGACGTTTTGTCAGAGGATTATACGTGTAATAATTATAATAAAGGTTTTTGTGATTGATTGGCACTCTTATAGTAAGTTTTGGGAGAAAAGGGGGGTCTGGGGGTCCTCCCCCAGAAAATTTTTACATTTTCGAAGCTCTAGGACTGAATTTCTGGCGTTTTCTGAAGCAAATTTCGCAAACAAATTGCATGTAAATTGACTGTATTTTACAAAAATGGTTATCATTTCACAAAAATAATTACTTTATTACGCAAATTTTACCTGAAACTGATGTAAAAATTTTAACTTTTATTTGCTGGGGTCAAACCTTTGAAAAGTTTAGAGCCCCCCCCTTCAGTATATCAAGAACTTTCAGAGCCCCCCCTTTAATGCCAGAAAATATTTCGGAGCCCCCCCTTAACATCTTCATCCCCCCCCCTCGGCATAATAAATGTACTTTCCCTTAAGATTATTTGTTCAAAACGTTACCTAGCTCTATAACTCTATAATTTAAAAAAAATCCAGAAAAAATCCGAACAAATCCGGAAAATCCAAACAAATCCGGAAAATCCAACAGATTTTCAAAAATCCAGAAAAATCCGGAAAATCCAGCAAATTTTCTCTTCAAAAATCCGCTAAAAAATCCGGGAAAAATCCGCTAAAAAATCCGCGGATTTTTAAAAATCCGAAAATCCCGTACGCTTTTTTGGAGTGAAATGCCCCTCGGTCGAATTGTTAATATATGATGCGGGAGTATTAATGGAACATTGTATCTCGCATTGTATGGAAATGTTTTACGATCTTTGGTGGTTCACTCAAACTCACTGACCCTCAAAGCCGTCGAAATTAAAAGGTTTGTCAGCTATTTCAGTAATTTCACAAACCCTCGTGAAGTTAGCTGACAATAGCACAGCTTAATAATAATAATAATAATAACAGTCTTTATTCATACTCAAGAACACCCGTCTGTGAGTTTACATTATAAAAATATATAAGATAAAATTATTGATATCTATAAGGTAATAACTAGATATATACAGTTATGGATAAAAATATTAATAATGTTAAAAAGGTAAAGGTTAAAATTGGTTAAACAAAGTTAAACAAACATCGATTTACAAAAGAACTTTTAAATCGCTCTGTTCTCACTAATGGAAGTTCAAACTCGTGTCCCCTTGGCCTAAGATGTCTATTTAATTTATCTGGTAAAAGCTCCTGTAGTGCATTATCTTTATTATGTATTACTTTATCCCAAAGTTTCTTGTCCCTTTTGATGCTTATCTCCTTAATATTCAATTTTCCCGATATGTAACCATTTCTGTGAGCGCGATTGATGAATTTGTCTATTTGACTAATGTATTTATTGAAGTATGCGCCTCCCCAAAGTTCTATGCCGTAAGTGATTATAGGCATAATTAAAGTGTTAAACAGCATGTCCAGTTGTTTGATTGGGAAGCCATAGTATTTACAGACACGCATTATATACATTCTTGCACTGGCTTTTTTCAACATTTCATCAAAATGCAAATCCCACTTGGAAGGGAGATCCTGTAATGTAATTCCTAAAATCTTTAACCACGTCCTTCGTTTAATAAATGGAAAAGGATCAGGCAACAGCGTAGGGATATTTCTCCTAACAATCATTTCATACGTCTTTTCCATATTTAAGGACATTCGAGTTATTTTCAGACCATGTTTGTATACTGTCCACTTCGGCTTGGGATGTATCTCCGTTTTCATTCCTGGTACTTCTAATGTCATGTCATCCGCGAACTTAACTAACTGGTTTATGGGGTTAACTGTTTTGATGTCATTCACCATGATCGAAAAGAGGACAGGACCCAGAACTGTTCCTTGGGGAACACCTCGATTAATGTTCAAGTATTCAGTTTCTATTCCATCAACCACTACCCTCTGTTTCCTATCCTCCAGAAAACTAATCAGCCAATTAGTAACATATGGGTTGATGGGGAGCTTCTTAAGCTTCTCACATAAAATATCGTGTGGAACGCTATCGAATGCTTTGCGAAAGGCAAAAGATAATACTCTGACATATTTTGCATCTCCTTCTAACCATCTTAACCATGTGTGTTGGCA